GGTTCCGTTCGAAGAAGAGGAAGAAAGACCCGAGGAAGAAGAGGAAGAAAGAAGAGGAAGAAAGAAAAAGAAAAAGAAAAAAAGATAGGAAGAATATGGAATATAATTATTTTATTTTATTTTTTTAAAATATAAATAATAATAATATGAGTTGGCAATGAGTTGTAATAAAAAAAAATTTTTAAGTGGACACGTTTGTAATTTGCTTTTGCCACCTCATAAAAAAATTATAAAAAATGCCACATAAGCGAGTTAACGGTCTAAATTAACAGAAGGACTAACGGAGTGCATTTCGTATAGTTGAAGGATCAAAAAAGTGCAAAAATTTGTTGAGAGATCAAAAATGTTCATTTCGTAAAGTTGAGGGACCAAATTAAGCATTTAACCTAGAATATAATACTCATGAACTTAAACTTCATCACAATGATGTTATTTTTCATATTTGTATATCCTCTAAGATTAAACATTTTAAAAGCTCTAACTCAAGAATATTCAATTCCTTGACACTAATTGGACCAATTCCTAAAAAAAAATCCCTAATTTCTAAAAGAAAAATGTATATCATACAAATATGAATGCAACTAATGTAAGAATGGATGCCTAAAAGTTATTCTCTCCCCCAGACTTAAATCAAACATTGTCCTCAGTGTAAAATAAAAGAGAAAAGAGAAACTTCACAGATTTTGCACTTAAAAATTTAAATTTTGAAGTTGAGTTCTTTCAATTGGAGACTTTAAGCATGTGAATTTCCATAATCTTGTCCCCCAAACTTGTTCAATGACCTGGCCAAAATCAAAGAACAACAATTTATGCATTAACCTAGGCCATAAAGAGAAAAAGAAAAAAATTAAAAGAAATTCTGAACTATAAAAGAAAAATAAAAGAAAAGAAAATTTTATACTTGGGTTGCCTCCCAAGAAGCGCTTAATTTATAGTCATTAGCTAGACTTTCTACCACTCCAAGGTGGTTTTGAATCAGGTCGTAGGGCATGTCCTCTCATTTTCCTAAATCTTGGCTTTCTTGCCCTTAAGTTGAATCCACCATAAGATTTTCTCCAATGACTATTTTGAGGTGGTTTAGGTTTAGGCCAGTAGATGTGCCTTCCCAATTCTTCTAAGAGTGCCCCCTTTGATTCCAAGGAAGATGATGTGTTCAAGTAATTTAGGTATTCTTTGATTGAGTCTTTTGCTTGAATAAGGTAAATCTCAAATGGATCCTCATAAGTGTTTTTCTGCAAAATCTCATCAACCATATCAATAACAAAATAATCATTAAAATCAGATTTGGTTAAAGGAGACTCCCCATTGAACACTTCAAATGACACCTGAGCTTTTTCCTCTTCCTCATTAGGGACATCCTCTTGTTTAGTTTTTGCAAGCATAATTTCTACTTCTCCAAGTTATCCTTCAATCTCTAAGGGTAAGGTGTTTACTTCTTCTTGATTTTTCATTGTTGCACTAGGTAACTCATCTTGTATCTCTTCAGCAACTAAGTTGAGCAAATTATATCATTTAAATAAGCAACCAAAACTAAAATGGTCTAATCCACACCATTCACAAGTGATATTTAATCATTCTAGTAGAGCCTTCCTTAATTCAATCCTTTCAATAGCTGCTTGAAATCGTTCAAGCTCATCATCGTCAATTTCTTTGGTAAGTATTGCTCCAACTTGTGCCCTTATCTCTGGCACAAGCCATTGATAGTTCTCATCAATGTTTAAGACAACTCGATCCATAGTTAGACCTACAAAAACAAAAACAAAAGAAACAAAAAAAAAATTAAAGTAAAGAAATAAAAGAAAATGTTCAAATTAAATATAGAATTAACCAACTTTGATATTAATTAAATCAACAATCCCTAGCAACGGTGCCAAAAACTTGATGCATTAAAATCACCCTAACAATTGTACTAGTCGCTCCAAGTAATATAATGATGAGAGAGTATCGAATCCACGAGGATTGTGTCTAATTAAGTACAAAACAATTAATCTAAATTTATTTGAACAATCTAAAAGATGGAATTTTAATTAAAATTAAAAATTAAAAATTAAAATAAAACTAATCAAGATATGAAATACTAAGGTATTGACTTCATCATAATCAATCAATATAAAATCTGGATTACTAAATTGTTGAGTGTTTATTGCATGTGATGGCGGATTTCCCTAAATTAATTAACTAGCTTTCTCAAGTCAAGTTAATCATTCACTTGTTTGTTAAATTAATCATATCTCTATATAATTTTAAACAAATTTATGAGCATTAAATTCTATGGAAACCTCTAGCTTAAGAAGGGGGAGCTCTTAACTCTTTTCTCTTCCTCCACTATTACATGTGAGCTAATTACTTCTCAGTCTCATAGTCTAGCACACGGTTTATATTATTATTGGTCTAATTCACGCAATTATTTCTCAAGTTCATGCATAAATCACTAAATCAATTGAAAGGTGATCAGGCTTATAATGCATTAAATTCAATAATATAAACTCCTCATACAAATAACTTTAATTGAAAGTATAAAATCACAAAATCTATATTGAATTGATTAGGCTGCGTCATAACCCTAGTAGAATAAATTAGTTTATGATACAAATAATAAAATCTGAAATTATAGTTATAAACATTCAAATATCAAACAATAGATAAAAACCCAAGGAAAAACAAAACTCAATTTAAGGAAATTGAACTCCTTGATCTCCTATTGTTGATCGATTTCGATCTTGATCTCTAAGAGTGCTCAAAAGAGGGCTGCCACTAACCTCTCAAAACTCCCCTAATTCTGAATTTGGATAGATATTTATAGGATTTTAGAAACCCTAATTGAAATAGAAATAGGAAAATGAATTTTGGATGTTGATTGTGTGGTGCTGACACTTCGGATTACATGTTGACACAAAATAGGAAACAGAATCTGATCCTGGACGTTTAATGCATGGTATCAACACCCTGGTTACGTGTCGACACTACACACGTGTCGGGTTTTTGGCTTTCTTTTGCAATTTCTTCAATGGTAAAATAGCAAATCTGGTATTCAAATTTTGTACTATGAGCACTTAGATCCCAAAACTCAAGATTCATTCATTTAGGTTCCAAATGGCCACCCTTCTTCTCACAATTTAGTCCCTCAACTTTTAAAAAATATCCAATAAATCCTAAAAACTCTTATTTTATGCATTCAAATCCTTTTCTGCACAAAAAATGAAAATCATGTAAAGTCTCATAAAACTCAGTAAAATCTCATAAAACTTATCCAAATATCAATAATATCAAGACAACAATTCCACATTAATATGTATACAATTTCAACTCATCAAAAACCTATCTACCACCAAGCAAAGCAACGTTCACCATTAATCAATCAACATCCAGCCCATTCTAGATTTTCTTCACCATATCTAAAGATCGAACCACAGCCACCATACTACATTTTAGCCATGCCACTTCATTATCTTTTGGAGTAAATTTTAAGAGCAGATCAGTTTTCAAGGATAACCTTTCCTCAACCATACCTTCTGGCATCAATGGCATAGTAATCATTTCTAGTATTGTCTCCGGCGCCACTTCCAACTCCTTCAACCTTATACCCTCCTTTGCAATCACATCCTCTATAGCGTCCTTCCCTTTCTCTACCGCAACCTACCTGAATCCACTAGTCAAGGATTTCCCTTCCTCAATTGCTACAGTATTGCCAACAACAACCTATGCATAAGTCACCCCTGGATTCACCTTACTATCCCTTTTAACCCATTGTTTCTCTAACTACTTGTTCTGTCTCATCGTTGTCACCTCCTTCCCTCTTTTCATGTTCACTACCAATTTCACCTTGAGATGATAATAGTCAAGCCTAATTTGGTTCAATTTCCTTTCCATATCCTTAACATCTGAGACCTCCAACATATGAACAAAACCAAACCGACACCCTCTTTGATCTCTCCTTGCTGGGTATACACATTTGCCACCTTCGCAAATGTCTGAAAACAATGCCACCAATCCTTCGCTGAATGATTAGCTGGAAAGTCATAGAAAAAATATGTAGTTGCCTGCCCAAGAAACTGCTTGTCGTATCCTGGAAGCCATCACCTAAACCCACTGCCACTGTCCCTGGCTGCTAGAAACCTTGCCACCCTAGCACTTTCTCTCTCTCATTTTCTCTCTCAAGTTAAAGCACTGAGACTAGCATATATGCATATATATATATGTTTGTCTATATTTTTTCTTCTATATAAAAATAATAATTTATTCAAAAAAAAAAATGGATTTTGTGGGTAACGACAATAGTCTAAGGACCATTGGGATACGGTACTCAAAATTCCTTTCTTAATCCACAGTCTTCAACTAAATTAAGATTCGCCTATGAAAATTTACCTGTTGTCAATAAAAATTACTGGGCAGACATTAGAGAAGAATCCGCCAAGACGAACAATACAAGATGTACCTCTTAAAAACAGACAAGTTAGATGACACAAAAGGACGAATCAATCAATATCAATGGTAAGAGTAGAAAAGCATAGGTTAATTTCTCATCACATGATAAATGGTTTAACTGAAAAATTACACAAAAATCAAGGCACCCACCAGTCAACAAAGAATAACCGAAGCCACAACTTTGCCCATCATCCCTTAGTTTTATGCATCAAATTAAGATTTTAAACACAAGATTAAAAACTGCAGGAAATGAAAAAGACACACACCAACCCCCAAATCAACAACGCCCAACACATGGTTGGGTTGGTGGCCAACCACGTTGCAACATGATTTATGCGGAAGTATTACTTGTACGCAACCCATCACCCATACAGTCTATATTTTATTAAGCCACAGTAAAACGTTGGCCAAGGAAAGTACATCCCAAAATTGAATTACATGAGAGCCCACATAACCGTTGTTTTTTTTTTTTTTTTTAATTGATGGGCACCCACATAATCCTCGGTATCATAACAGTCCTCATATAGCACCATATCCATTTGTTAACTTATAATCCACGATCCACATCCATGCCCCAATTTGAAATAACTCCATCGTTCTATCCTCAGTATTGTCCATTCTACCAAACAACTTGCTATTCTTTTAAACGGTACGAGTCTTTTCTTGATCTCTTTTTCATGCTAACTTATGTGTAATTCGTGACTAAATATCTCCCTGAGCCCTTAATTATCTTTTGATCTTTTACAATAAGGGTGTTTTTGGACTAACTTTTGTATAACTTGAGACTAAATATCTCCTTAGGCAATATTAAGAGCTCACCTTTCACATCAACCTAATACATTTAAGAAAATAATTAATTTTCTTAGGTGTTAACTCTAAGACTTAAACTTTAAAATTGGCTCACAAAATAACATCTATTTTTCAGTGAATTCAATCTTAAAGTTATAACTCAAAATTTTGGAATAAAATAGTTCAAAACAAAAAATAGCAAACGTTGAATTTCTTTTTATATACTTAGATTATTCAGCTATTTAAGTTGTAAATGTTTGGATTCTTAAAACTGATCCCAAATCAATATTTTAGAACGCACCAATTGTATAATCCACGTGTTTATAAGAAATGAAAAAGAGAGCGAACGACTGAAAGTGACATGCATAATTGAGAAATTCTTTTTTCATTTTTTTCATGATTGAGGCATGATAAAGTGGTAGGTTTAGATCGTGGTGCGAAGGGAAGGAATTTCCATGGAAATTATTAGGTGGGAGTTCTTAACACGAATATGGTGAATAAACATGACAACATTTTTGGTAGGTACAGCCTCTGTCTAGGTCTTATTTATTTCTCTCTCACCCCCGCCCCCCAATCCCCCATTTAATTTTCTTTGCCTTCGACTACACTAGAAATTCCTGCACAATGAGCTTTCACATAATTCTTTAACTGAGTTATTGGGAGTGAAAGGTAGTTCCCATCAATCATTCCATAACCTTTAAACTTTTTAACACAGCATGAAGATTGATCAATGTCTTCTTCCTCCTTCCCACAGAACAGAGTCAAAGAAACAAAGCATCAAGATCTCTTAACTTGCAAGTTAGATATCTTTTTCCACTAACTTTTTTTTTTTTTTTGATATAATTAACCATCTAATTCTTCAATTATATGCCTTATTCACCTCTGTTTATAACTCCATCCCATTTTGATTTATTCAGTTATATCCCAACTTATTACCATCCACTATGAAAACCTCTACTTCCAAACTCTTAGGCTTCCTACTCTTTTCCTTTTTCTACCATTGCCAAGCGTGTCCACATTACAAGTTTGTTGTAAGTGCATATTCCAATTTTTTTTAATAGAAAACAACAATATGCAATTGTATTTATCATAAATTGTTTCTGTAGGTGAAGGAAGTTCCATATACGAGACTATGCAGCACGAAGAACATACTCACCGTCAATGGCCAATTTCCGGGTCCTACTTTATATGTTAATAAAGGAGACACCATCGTTGTAGATGTTTACAACAGAGGAAAATATAACATCACCCTTCATTGGTATTAATTATCTCGAACC